TTCACGGGGGGCCGGGGTCTGGGGGACTCCACCTCGGGGGTGGAATTGGGGAAACAAGGGGCCCTGGGACGCTTGGGAGCTTACCACGTGTGGGCCCAGGTCCATGCTGTAGGGGTCAAGGGGGCCGGTGGTGGTCCTGATCCATCGTGCTCCCGGCAGCAGCTCCCAGAGAGGATCCTGGGACCTGAGCGCACATCCCGGCCCCGCCCGACATGCCCAACCCGCATGGAGTCCTGCCCGGTGTCGGACCCTCGGCATAAAACCTGTCTGCTGGGCTCCAGGATGCAAAGGAGGAAGGGACGCGGTTCTCGTCCCCTTGGTGGATTTAACGCCGTGGTGCGTGGTGTGTGCAGCTCCCTCCCCCACGCAGCCTGAGCAGCAGGGACCCTGTGGGGACCGGTGTGGGCATGACCCCTTCTCATCCGGGTCAGCTCTTCATCCCGAGGGGCTGTTCGCAGGGGTCTCTGACGAGGTGGAGATGCAGGCGGCGGCCGAGGTCCACCCTTCTACCTGGAGGTCCGCCCTCCTGCCTCGCCCAGTCCTGGCTTCACCCCGCGTCCGTGCCACTTTCTCCCTGCGTAAGATACAGGCTTGTGGTCGGAGGTTCCGCAGGTGCAGTGAACGCAGAAGAGGGGAACAGCCGCAGTCTCAGGGGCTCCCCTGTTGTCGACCCTGTTCCTTGTCTGTCTGGACAAAGGCGCTCTGTGTTGTTGTGGACGGCATCGCCCCTTAACAGCTCATCAGGATTTTTATGTTGTTAACAGCTCCTCCCAAACCTATCTCCTGGTGCGTGTTTCCGTTAGGACGTCACGTTTTGTGATCTGTGCCTTCTCGTCAGGTGGAGAGGGTCATTGTTTCAGTTTCGTTCTCTCATTACTACTGAGATTGAATGGAAGCTCCATGAGGGCAGGGACGGGGTTTTGGGGGGTCTGATTGGATCGTTGTTTAGGGCAGTGCCTGGTGATGACAAGGAGCTGGAAAAGGTTTGAATGGATGCGGGTGTGGGAGGAAGGGGGAGGGAGGGATGGATGGACGAGTGGGTATGTGGGTGGACAGGGGGATGGATGGGTGGGTGGATGATGGATGGGTCGAGTGGTGGGTAGATGGGTAGATGGTTGGACAGACGAGTGGACAGACATGTCTGTCAGTCAGTGTCACTTTCCCTCCAGGACTGTGCAGGTGTAGACTCTTGGTGTGTCTGTAACACGGTGGCGACTTTAGCCCTTTATCTGTTGCGAGGACTTTCCCTGGATTCCTTTTAATTGAGAGCTTTTATTTCTATGGTGGGCTCTTCTTTCTTTACCTTTTTTAACCGTAACCCTCCAGTCTCCCCTGGTTTTTTCTGCGCCTCGCGCTCCTCGGGTTGGTCTCCTCCCGGCCCACGACCACCTTGTAAACCAGTGTGGGCTGAGCCCCCATCCATCCTGGAGGCTGCGCCGGGGCGCCCTCTTGTTGCTGACACGCGGCCGTGCGCCCACGGGCTGGCTCAGGCCTGGAACGGGACGGTCAGCGCGGCTGTGAGGGGTGTTGCTCCCTCACTCCTCATCATTCCCCAGGTCGAGGGCCCGATGCAGCGGCCATGAGCTGGGCCCGCTCTGAAGGTGCACTCACTCCAAGGGCTCGGGGACCGGCTCCCCCGTGGGCTGTCGCAGGCACCCCACTTGCTGCGGTAGCCGTCCGTCCGTCCGTCTGTCTGACTTACAGCCTCCCCGTTGTTTCTGCGACGCCATCCAGGACACCGCGAGGAGGATGAGGCAGAAGGACAGGCCCCAGAACGTGCTGTGCCCGCGCCTCCACCTGCCGCAGGTGAGCGGGCTGTTCCGGAAGGTTGGCCGCTGCCCCACGGGACGGAGCTGCCTGGCCTGCAGGGTGGCGGGCGTCACCGGGACTCACCCGGGTCCGGCTGTTCCTCTTCCTTCTTAGGAAGCGTCACCGCATTAGCGGTTGGTCTGCAGTCGCTCGTGACAACAGCGCGTCCTGGCGTCTTGGTTCTGGCGGCCGTAACGAAGGACCGTAATCGGGGCGGCTTAAACATCAGATTACTTTATTTTACTTTATTTATTTTATTTTTATTGTCTTTATTTCCCCCAGTTCCGGGTTCTCTTTGGGGTCACCGATGGCCCCTCCTCGCTGTGTGCTCGCAGCAGAGACGGGAGGCAGCTCTGTGACTCTTGTTAGGACCTGACCCCATCGCGGGACCTCCGCCCTCCTGACCTCGTCTGACCCCGCTGACCTCCCACAGCTCCTAAGGCCATCACGCGGGGGTCATGTGCCCTGGTCTCCTGGCCGGATGGGGGTCTCGCCCCCATTGGCCTGGCCGGGAGCGGCCGTGCTTCTGTGTGGGCTCGATAGTACCCCGTGGGGCGGCTTTTCTAGCTGAGCCCGGGGACGTTCCTGCCCTCTGAGCTGCACGGACCCAGGGGACTCGCGCGCGTGCTGTACGGGGCGGGGCGTCCTACGCAGCTGCAGGGTGTCTGCCCACGTCGGAGACAGGCGTCCCTAACCCCATGTGTGTGCGCGCAGGTTCCCACACCCTCTCTGTTCTGTGTTTGAACTGCAGACGATCCACAGACCCCCCCCCCCGTGCTCCTGACCGGGGCCCGTCCTGTCATAGGGAGCCCCCTGGGTACCGGTGTGGACTCCACGTGTGTCCCTGTGTGGGGACGTCGGGACTCGTGCTGCCCAGCAGTGACTTGAGGGTGTCTCTCTCCCCGTGTCTCAGGGCGGACGTTTCCAGAAGGAGATTGTACAGAATCCTCACGGGAGACAGTTTACCCCGATACGTGGGCTCCACGGCTGTGATGTGTGGAATCCACAGCCGTGAGGCGTGGCCTGTGTTCTGCTCTGCATCTCGGTGCCGCCTTGTTCCGTCTCCCAGACCCATCTGTCTGGCTTTCATGTCACGAGGGGTCACCTAGAGGTGTCAGGAGATGCCCCTCGTGTTGAGAAAGGCGCCATGTTGACTTAGGCGCCCGAGTGGTCCCAGAACCTCATCGTCTTAGAGGAGACGCCGCCGTCCCTTCCTCACCATCCTCCTGGCTTGGTCGCCTGGCCGGGGCGCACAGTGTGTCTACGGTCTCTGGGAGCACTGAGCGTGGCGTCCCGGGTCGGCACCTCCATCCTGCAGGATCCTGTGGTGCCTACAGGGCGAGGTGACCGGGCCTTTCCCAGGACACTTGTCGGCCTCGGCCTCACAGTTCTGCCAGAACTGGCGGTTGTCCTGTCCCGTTTCTGGAGGGTCATGCAGATTCTTTTGTCTACACTGAGGTCTCCCTTTAGACTTAATTTTTTCCTGCACTTTGTTCCTCAGGGGGAAGAGCATCTTGTTTCTCCTCGTAGACGTCGTCTGCACATAAAACGTTCAGACCAACCGAAAGTTCCCCACGTCCAGCGCTGGTGGACGCGCCAGGCTCCCTGCGGCCTGTTCCGTGCGTGCTTTCCTCGCTTGGGGAATCGTGAGCATCTTCCCTCGTCGGCAGCGTGCGGTTGGGTTCGTCGTCTCGGAGGCCGTCGGAGCTCTTGCTGAGCAGATGGAACACGGGTGGTGTCGGTGTCCCCCCGCAGGGGCCGTGGGGCAGCGTGCGGGTCCCCACATCTCCACCGTCTGTTATCTGCGTCCTGCGGGTCAGCGGTCTGTGCCCCCGTGAGAATCGCCTCGGCCTCAGGTCGGCTGTCCGGAGGAGCCTGGCACCTCTGCTTCTGCCTGGGCTGGCGTGTGGCCTTCTCCTTGAGCAGAAGACTGACTGGTTTCTGGGATCCCGTCATTTATTTCTGCTTTTCATCTTTGCGGAGGGCCAGGGGGCAGTTTTGGAGGCAGGCCGAGATTCTTCTGGGTTCTTTTCTGGATTCTCTTGAACCTGGGTCGCCTGCGGAGGGGATGGGGAGGCTGCCCACGTGTCCTGGGTTCACAGCCTGATCCAGAGGCCCCGGGGCTTCCCTGAAGTAGTCGGGGGTGTGGGCAAGGTCCCGGCCCTCCGCAGGTGCGGCCCACCCTGGGCAGAGACGCGCGGTGTGCACGCCTGTGGTGGGGGGGCTGCTGCAGCACCGGTTTTCCAGCGTCTGTGGGGTCCGTTGGGGGAGCAGCCCTCGCCCCCGCCCCCTTCACCTTCACCTTCACCTTCACCTTCACCTGGAAGGGGCGTCAACGCGCAGACACGGATGCCCAGACTCCGGGACACGGGGCGCCACCCCCTGCTCACTCCGGAACGCGGAGCACCGGCCACCCCCAGACCCGAGGCCCAGGGTGCCCCCCAGCGAGGTCGCCCCGACCCTGGACCCCCAGGCTCCGACAGCCCCCTCCTCCTCCGCTGTTTCAGAAGCACGTGGACACGCACGGCCTGGGCCGCGACCCCGCCCGGGTCATCTGCGGCCCCACCTCGCCCACCCCCCCCTTCCCGCTCGAGCTCGGCTTCCAAGGTGCCCGAGACGCCGCGCCCAGGATCACAGGTGGCGCTGGGGGCGGAGGGGTCCTGGTCCGTCCTCCCGCCCTCCGAGCCGCCCCTCCCACGCCCCATCCCTCATTCAGGCCCCGCCCCTTGCCGGGGCCCCCACCACCCTTTCACCTGGGCCCCGACCCTGCCCTGTCCTCGGCCCACCCCTCCCATGCCACGCCCCTCCCCTCATCCAGGCCCCGCCCCTCGTCTAGGCCTCTCCCACACCCTTCACCTGGGCCCCGCCCTGCCCTTGTGCTCCCCCCACGCCCCCCCCTCATTCAGGGCTCCCCTCGCCTAGGCCCCTCCCATACCCCCACCTTTCATGTCGGCTCCGACCCTCCCACACCCTGCCCTGCACCTAGGCCCCTCCCCCCCTCACTGGGCGGGCCCCGCCCCTGCCCTGTGTCCCCCCCACGCCCCGCCCCTCCCTCCTTCAGGGCCCGCCCCTCGCCTAGGCCCCTCCCATACCCCACCTTTCATGTCGGCTCCGTCCCTCCCACACCCCTTTGACCTAGGCCCCCGCTCACTGCCCTACGCCCCACCCCTCACTGTGGCCCCGCCCCGGCACACGCCCCGCCCCTCGCCGTGGCCCCGCCCCAGCAACGCCCCGCCCCTCGCCGTGGCCCCGCCCCTGCCGTACGCCCCGCCCCAGGCACGGGCTGGCCTCCGCCCTCTCCGAGGCTTCCCTGGAGGAGCTGGAGCTGCCGGGCCACCAGCGCCTCCGCAACCCCGGCTCCCTGCTCGTGCTCGCCAAGTTCCGCAGGATCCTGCCGGCTGAGCGTGGGGCTGCGTGAACCTACACCGGCCCAGGGTCCCGGAGGTGGGAGCTCCCGGGAGGAGGGGGCTGGGGAGGATGGGGGACACAGGTCTCGGGGAGAGGCTCCACGTCCCTGAGCAGTCACTGCGGGGGGGCGTCCAGGTTGAGGGACACGTCCTGGTGTGTATGCCGTCCCCGTGCTTGGCCTTCCTCGTAGCCCCCAAGGCCTGGTGGGCTGGATGCACCTGGACGCGCAGCCCTGGCAGAGGGGACAGGTGGGGTCGGAGGACCATGTTGCACACGGGCCTCGTCCTAGAGGGGATGCACGTCCAGCCTGCTGCTTGGGGCTGAGGGTATGTGGGGGTGGTCTCTGGGCTGCAGAACTGGCCTGTAGGGCCCTGCATTCCTCACCCAAGAGGGCTCCCTCTTCTGTCTCTCAGCCCAATCTGACCCCGCCGGTGACCTCTAGGCCTGGTCCTCCCTGAGCTGCCACCGCCCCCACTTCCTGTCACTTTCTCGTACGTGCATGTTCTCGCTGCCCATGTCTCTGCCGCTCATGTCTGACCAGGGGACGGATGGGGGGACCCTGGGTGGGCTCCTGGGGGTCTCTGGTTCCTGCCTGGGTCTCAGGTCTGTCCCCTCCTTGCACACGTCCCTAGGCTGTCCCCTCCCCACCCGTATCCCCAGGTCCACCCCCTCCTTCTTACGTCTGGTGTCCCCTCTCACCCACAGACTCGCCCACTTCCAGGACTCCATCTCCGAGGACATGCCAGCCTTCTGGGAAGGGAACGTGAACCCCTGCTCATCTACCTCAGGGCCCTCATGAGGACGAACGACGTGGCCCTGGGGGAGGAGGAACCCGCTGCCAATCCGTTTGACGCCAGATGCAAAGACAGCAAGCATCCTCGAGGTGGGGGGTGTCCCCAGGGTGGGAAGTGTCCTGGGATCAAGGGGGAGGTTCATCCTCAAGGTCGGGGAGGGGCCCCAGTGTGGCCTCACAGCTGACCGCTCCTGGCTCTGCAGAGCTGCCTGTGGGAAGGTGCTCCCCCTGGACACCAGACACCCTGGCCAGCTCCACTGCAGCCGACAGAGACCCAAGGAACCCGTCCAGGGGCTGCAAGGCCAAGAGGTGCGGCCATCTCCTGTGTGTCGGGTGCAGGGTCTGTGCTTGGGGACATCTTGTCCAGAATCTGCCGGCCTGTCTCTGCATCATCAGCCTCGAGGGTTTTTCCAAGCATTTCTCAAGGAGTGGAGCTTTGGGGTGGCCGCAGTCCCAAAGTCGGGCTAGCTGTTTGGGGACACTGGTCAGACCGGGTCCTGCCTGGGTCTGAGATAGGGGAGGACGTGCAGGGACAGTGCTGTCCTGGCGGAATGTGCTCGAGGGGGCAGCAAGGGGCACTTCCCACCTCCCCTGACTGCCTGAGGCTCAACAGAGGGGACACGGCGGAGTGTCAGATGCCACTGGGTGTCCACACCCTGGGGGCTCTGCCTCCTTTGTCTCTTCCTCTGTTCCTCTCTGTGTCCTCCTCCATCAGACTCCATCTTTTCTTTTGTTTTTCCACGACTGTCCAGGCTTGTCGCCTCCAGGGCTCCTGCTCCCACCTGGTCTCCTGCCTCAGTCTCTCAACAGGGATCGAGGTTTGAGAGGAGGCTGCTGGGGGCGTGTCCTGCCGCTGGGTTGCTGGCAGCCGAGAGTGGAGGACTGACCCGCCACCCTCTGTCACCTGCAGGGACACCTCTGATGTCAACGTCCTGTCCTTCGAGGACTCCGAGAACTCTTCTAATGAAGACATTGATGTGCGTGTCTCTACCCAGGGGGTACGTCCCGGGCGGGGCCTCTGGGTGGTGGCCACATGGGGCATTGACGGGGCTGGAGAGGATGCTGACTGGGCGCAGACCGGGCGCCACATGGGGGCTGCCTTCTCCTGCCCCTGCCCCCAGGCCGCAGGTCAGGGAGAAGCGGGACACCTCATCTGAGGGGGCCTCCCAGTGACATGGCGGCCTCTGTGCCCAGGGTGGGGGGCGGGAGCAGAGTCCTTTGCACATTCAGTCAAACGGATTCGGGTCCTGGTGGGAGTGACCCGGGGCTCCCTCTGTGGGCAGAACACCCAGGTGCCTGCCATGTGATGATCACCTGGGGACTGGCCTGACTGTCTGGGGGCCCCAGGCTCGTGCGGGGTCCTCAGCTGCCCAAGGCTGGTGGGGTGTGGTTCCCGTGCCGCGCCTCTGTGGCTCAGGACACTGGTTTTCGGGGGGCCCTGGGGTCCTCGCTGGCTCTCCTGGCTCTCCTGGCTGACCCCGTCCCCCGCCATGCCTGGGCTGGGCTGGGGCTGCCGGCTGGGCCTGGGTGAGAGCTGTGGGTCTGGGGTGGCCCTTGGGGAGGTACAGACACTCCTGGAAGGACACCCCCGTGCGGACACCTGGGTGGTCAGCACACCGACCCAGGGACTTGGGGTCAGGCGTGTGGAAGGTCCCGCGGGGTCAGTGTTGCCCCCGGCCCTTCGCACCTGTGTCCTCAAGCCCCCAGAGGCCGTGGCAGGTGTGGGCCCCCGTCTGGCTCCTCGACATTTGCTGCTCCCCGAGAATTCCCAGGTCCCTCCTGAATTGACTGGGAAGCGCCCTGGAGGGTGCCAGGCCGTCCCGTGTGTCCGTCTGTCCCTGCGCCCATCCACTGGGTCCTGAGCGCTGTCCCTTCTGTCCCCAGGGGGTGTCTGACTGCAGACGACTCACGCCCCGGGTGGGACTCAAGTTGAGTTCCTCCTTCGTGGCCACGTTCTGTGTCCACGGCTGGTGGTCCTGGGCCGCGGCCTCTGTGGGTGACCTGGGTCCTCGGGGCCTCCGGGCTGTGAGGTGCATGACGGTGACCCTGCCGTCTGCTCCTGTGGAGCCAGCACCCCGTGCACAGGGCAGGGCCACAGGACCGTCGACCCTCGGGGTGCCCACCTGCCCAGATGCCTGCCTGCCCACGGCTTCCTCGCGGGGCTCCGGCTGCCCGCTGCCCTCGGCTCAGCTGGGAGGAAGGTTCCGGAACCACTCTGCTCCTCTCTGCAGAGTGTGGTGCCACCTCCCTCACCCCGCATGGTCCTGCTCCGTGTGGGCCACCGGCTCCTCCTCTCACGGCCCAGGGCCCTGTTGCCGAGCGTTGTGTCGTGTCCAGCGCCGTGGGCCCAGCTGGGGGGCAGGAGGGACTCGCCCGCGGCCTGGTCAGCGCCTGGACGCTTTAGACGGGCTGCGCCTGACTGGGGTGGTGGTGGGAGGGGCCGAGGCTGCAGCCCAGGGGAGGAGGCCCGTGGGGTTGTCCCTGGAGGCCCACTCGTTGGCAGCCCTGCCCACGGACACCTGGGGTGGGGCCGCTCGCGCCCTCTGGATCTCATGTTGGTGCCAAACCACGGCCAGCGCCCACCCGAACGCCAGAGGGGACAACCCCTTGAGGCCAACCTGAGAGCAGATGGGGAGACCGGACGTCGGGGTGGCGGGGGTGTGTGGGGGGGGTGTCTCTTTTTCTGTCTGCAGGGGCGGATTCCCCTCTCTGTTGTGTGCAGACGAGCACGGACCCATGAGAACCGGTCTGCACGTCCCTGCGTGGCCGTGGCTGGGGGCTCAAGGTCGCGGCCCCGGAACAGCCCTGCCCCCCACACGAGGCTGAGTTCCACGGGGTCTCTCTGCACACGGTGGGCCGGGTTGCGGCCTCGGGCGGAGTGTCTATGCTGTGGGGTCGTGTCCTTTCCCAGGACTCTGGGGGCCGACTAGGGAGGAACCACCCCTGGGGTGGGGTCGGGGTCACCAGGAGGTCAGAGGAGGGTCAGGCTGCTGGGAGTTCTCAGGCCCCTGACCCACACCTGAGCCCGCGGGTTGTCCCTACCTGGTAGTGTAGCCGTGTCTCCCTTGGTGGTGCTGCCGTCTGTCCCCAGTGGCGTCACCGTGCCCTGTGAACGTGGTGTCGCGGGCTGGGCGAGCTGAGGCTGTGGCTGAAAATCTTTAAATTCTTTATTTCAAAATACAAACGTGACCTCATAAAACATTTTTAAACCGCTCTGCACTGCAAATAAGAGTTAACTTTACACATTTTGTACATTTACAACAGGAAAACGATCAACAAACCCGAGTGGGCGCTCCCTCCCGCACCCCGCGGGGAGGGCTGTGCTGGGCCGCTCGTGTGGATGGAAGGTTCCGGGGCTGCCGCGGCGCCGGGCTCCTGGAACGCGCTGGCTCCTGGAGAAGAACCGCGCACGGCCGCCCGGCGCCCGGAAGTCCACGCGTGCCACGCGGCCCTGAGGCAGGTCCTTTGGGAGCGGAAACGGGATCCCCTGCGGGATGCACCACTGGCCAGGCCCGCGGTACGTGTCGAATGCTGGGTCTCTGCAGCTGGAGAGGGGCCGTCCGATTCCCACGGAGGCCCGAGAGCGCTTGTCCCCGCCGGGCCCGGCCAGGGGGTCCTGGGCGGTGCGTCCTCCTGGACGGGTGGGGCCACGCGCTCCAGGGTCCGTGTCTGAGCAGCTTCTGTGTCGAATAAATAAGGATTCGCCGTTCCGTACAAACGCACTTCACCTGTGGAAGACGGCTCAGCAGCCAAACGGCCCTGTTGTCTCTCCACACGAAAGCCGCTGCGTGCAGCAGGCCGCCACGGACGGTGCCCGGGGGGCGCGGGTCACGAGGGCTGCAGGTGGGCGTCCCCACACTCGTACTCGTACAGCTCGACGGCGCCCAGCGCGGACGGCGCCTCGAAGAAGGGCCTCTGGGCCAGTGGAGACCGCAGGGCGCACAGCTTCTGGTCCACGGGGCTGAGCTCGGCTTCGTACCTGCAAGGAGGGCTCCGTGAGGACACGCGAGGGGCCGGGCGCGGCGGCCCAGGGCCCACCGTTCTCCGAGGCCGGCGTCACCTCAAACCCAAAACAAGACTCGTGTCACCAGACACCACAAGTAGCCTTTGCAGACGGAGGCCAGGAACATACGGGCGGGGAGCCTATCGGGACCACGCGGGTTTGTCTCGGGAAGGCCAGGCTGGCTCGACCACCGAGGGTGTCTCACGGCGCCCGATCCCCAGGCCACGGCAGAGACGGCCTTGGAGCGGCAGCGTCTGACGCAACGCGGAGCCTCAGCAACCTGAGGGGACGGGAGCTTCCTCCCGCTGACCAGGGACGCGCTCCCCACACCCCACAGCCCACGTCACGCTTCCTGGGGAAGGAGGACCTCGCCCCGGGGACGAGGTGAGGACGCTGCCCTCACGTCCGTCCAGCATCGTCCTGACGTTGCAGGAAGAGCGACAAGCAACACAGACCAGGGGACAAACAGACGGGGGTCACGGTGTCGACTGTCACCGTCCAGAGACCCAGCGCCGTCCATCAACGTCCCCGCGGGACCGTCCGTGCGACGCCACAGGCTGACCCGACAGCGCACAGGAAGGCGGGCAGACTCGAGTGACCGGAAACTCTGCACCAGACGAAGCTGGAGCTGGAGGCCTCGCGCTCCGGGACTCGACCCCCCTGAGGCTGCAGCGCACAGACGTCTCCTGAGACACCAGGTCCGCAGAATGAGCAGACGCCAAGAACTGGGACAAACCACGTACCTGAGAAAGGAGCTGTATCCAGAAGCCGTAAAGAACCCTGAAGACTCGATAATGAGACAATAATCCCAAACGGAGGAGCAAGGCATACAGGACTTCATCAACAAAGGCGTGGAGGGAGGGCCCACGAGGACGTGAACAATTCAAACCACGTTGCGACACCAACAAGACGCGCCAACCGCCCCGGCCTGGGCGAGGACGTGGGACGGGGGACCCTGCCCATCGCGGGTGTGGACGCAGCGGGACGGCTTCCCGTCCAGGTCAACGTGCATCCGCCCCGCGACCCGGAACCTCCCACGACCACGTATCGAGCCAAGAGAATGAAAACTGACACACACACGGGGAGGCCCGCGGGAGAGCGTTGTACGGTGGCTTTGCGCTCATTTTCCTAGAACTGGACGCGATGGGAACCACCCAGACGGCCATCGCCCGGTGGCTCAGGACAGCGCGGTCACCTGAACCGTGAACAGCGCTCAGCACTCGTGAAACAGACTGCTGACGGCCCAGCGACACGCGTGGGTCTGAAATGCCGGGTGAAGGCCAGGCCGAGAGGAGGCGGCCTCCCGGGTCTGGAAAAGGGGAAACTGGACCAGCACGGGGGCCACGGGCCGGGGGTCACTCAGCGTGAAGGACGTGCTCACCCTCCTGCCCGTGTTGAAACCCCCGGGCGGGGCGTGGGGTCTGAGGACCCCCGAGCCAGCAGCGCGGCTGTCACCCCTGGGACGCCGCCCCCTGAGGCGGGTGGTGGCTCCAAGCACACGTGGGAACACGCCTGACCCTGGCACCGAGCAGGCCTGAGGGGGCGTGGGCGATGGGAACACGCGTGTGCGTCTGGTTGAGCCCCTCAGGGCAGAGCCTGACCCTGCCCGCCTGTCGGGCCCACGCCAGCCGCGGGGGGAGACGGAAATGCGCCAGATGCCGGTCTGCCCCGTCGTCGGCCTGACACGCAGAAACCAAACCACAACCACGTCCCCAGGGGGAGTGACTCCATGAGGGCCCTCGGGCCCCGTTCCCAACGTCCAGGATCCTGGCCCTCTGGTGTCTGTGGCCCCCCGAGCCCCTTGCTGGGTCCCCGCCCCACCGTCCGGGACACCGCCAGGCCCTCCGCGGTGCTGGGGACAGGGAGCGACTCAGGAGGAAAACTGCCCGGGCTCCCGGTGGAGACCGAGGGTCGGGCCAGAGTGCGTGGGAGCAGAGGGGCCTGGGCCCGTGGGGGTGCAGGGTCTGCACAGGGGGTCGAGGAGACGGCCGGCTCTGGGCCGCCAGCCCTGGGGACCCCCGCACCCCGTCCTGGCACCACCTGCTCGGGCCCTGCAGGCCGGCGCTCGGGGAAGGTGCAGACGCAGCAGCAGCAGAACACAAACCAGGCCCGGCTGCGCTGCCGCCCCGGGGCCTGGACTCAGGACTGAGGCCCTGCACGCTGCGCTCCATGGCCCACGACCCCGAGGGAAGCCCGGTGGGCCTCCAGGCCTCCTGTGGGGCCGCGTGTGCGGGTAACAGGCCACGGGCCGCCGCGTGTCCACCCGGCACAGATGCGAAGGCTCGGGCTGTGGCTTCGGGCGGACGTGAGGTTCCTCTAAGAGCCTGAGAGTCGCCTCGTGCGCTCAGGACGCCCAGCACCGTCTTCGCGGCCCTTTCTCGCATCCCACACACTCGTCACCCGAGTGTCACAGGCGCCCCCGGGAAGCGGGGCAGCTGTCTGTGGCCTGGGCCCTTTCCGAGGGGCTTTGAGTCCACTGGACACAGGAAGGAGGCGCCCGCTGCCCACCGGCCATCCCTGGGCCCCGCGTCCCCACACTCACCCGTCCTCCCACGGCTCCCCCGCGGCCTCCTCGGCCACCAGGATGTCGTACTCCTCGGCAGCGTACTTCTCCCAGTCTGAGAGCTCGGGGCCTTCGCTCTCGCTCTCCTGGAGGACACGCGCGTGTCACTCGGCGAGGACGCGGCTGGAGGCCGGCCCTCCCGCCCCCGTGCTGCCCGCCCCGCTCACCCGGAGCAGGGAGACCTGCTCTTTCTGCTCGTGGTCGAGGTACTTCTCGATGTTGAAGAACGTGTCGAAGAAGACGTTGGCGAGCTTGCACTTCTTGAGGTCGTGGAGGGTGATTTTCCCTGCGGGGAGACGAAGCGTTTGAACAGGGAATCACCCCTGGGCGCGCCGTCGCAGGCCTGTGTGTGTGCGCGTGAAAACACCTTGAAACACAGCGCGACACCACGTTTCCTGACACAGCTTGACGCCTGTGAGCAGCGGACAGAGGAGGGGGGGCCGGGCGTGGGTGGAGGCCTGGACGGGATTGGGGGGCGCGGTGGCTGCAGAGCACAAGCAAGGCTGGAAACTCTGGCCGCCAGGGGGCGCCGCGCACCCGTCACTGAGCCGCCGCGGCCCCAGGACGATTCTCAGTCACAATCCCTGAGCCAGGACCCCAAGCCCTGGAAACACAGCCGTAGGTGAGGCGTCCCTGTGACCTCGGAAGCTGTCCTGGGTCCCGCTGTGGGCCTCCCCTTAGACGCAGCCTTCTCAGGTGAGGAGGGTTGGGGGGCTCTGCTGGGTCCCCTGGCTCCCCGGTGGACCACACACGCCCCCAGGGGTCCCGGCCCCGGGAGCAGGGAGGGCACAGGCCCGGGGCTCGAGCTGGCTGGGGACCAGGGGACAGAAGGGGCAGGTGACCCTCGGCACCGCCCCACAGCACGGGTGCTGGGCTAGGTCTCCCCAAAGTGACAAGTCACAGAGCACGGGCAGAGGGACGTGGGCGTGGGGACACTCACCTTCCTGACCCTGGGGGATACGGACGCTCACCCCACAGAACAGGGCCCCTCTCACAGGTGAGGGCTGAGGGGGTCCTCAAAAACTGAGGGGGATGAGGGGAGAGGCCAGACATGCCCGGCATTCTGTCCACACTTAGCGACCGGCGACTGGACGAGGGTGCTGATGTCACACAGGAGGACACACCCGCCCTGCCCTGGACACTGTCTCCAGTGGCACGTGGTCGGTACCGGCTGTCCCCAAGGCCCTGCTCACCCTTGTCCCCAACTCACCGTGGGGATGGCCATTCCAAGTGAGCGGCACCTCACGCAGAGACATCGCGTCCCATAAGGGCTGTCACATCTCACACTGGGGCAGCCTCTCACACGGGGACGTCATGTCTGTCAGTTGTCTCATCTCACACGGGGACGTCACTTCTCACAGTTGTTTCATTTCACACGGGGCGTCCCCTCACACTGGGATGCCACCTCACACAGGATGCCACTTCTCACAGGAGTCGTCTCATCTCATCTCACACGGGGCGTCCCCCTCACACAGGGACGTCACATCTCACAGTTGTCCCATTTCACACTGGGGCGCCCCCTCACACGGGGGACATCCCCCTCACACTGGGCTGTCCATCCCTCGCAGCGGGCGTCCCCCCCTCATGGGCTTTACCTTCGCTCTGGGGCTTCACCAGGTCCAGCATCTGGCAGAGGCAGTCCTCGAAGGGCAGGGCCTCGATGGCCATGCTGTCCAGCCTGCGGCACTGCTCCTCGTAGAAGTACTCCAGCTCGAACATGGACAGCGCCCCGTCCCCATCCAGGTCCATGCAGCGGAACCAGTACTCGATGCTGCGGTCGCCGTGGGGCAGGGGGGCCTCGGTCAGCCTGGCCGCCTGGGACAGACCCCAGCAGGACGACCTTGCCCGGCGCGGACCCTGCCCGGGACTGAGCTCGCCCACATGGACCGTAGGAGGTGCCCTCGCTCAGGGAGGACCAGTGGCTGCCGAGCGCTCCCCGAGGCGGAGCACAGCACCGCTGCCCAGCACCCACCTGGTCGGGGTTTTCTTGTCTTCCTCAGAGATCAGGAACCAGACAAAGTCGGCGTAGCTGAGCTTCCCCTCCTTCTGTACCTTTCTGCCCCTGGGTCCGGGCCGATTGAGAGACAAAGACCGTGTCAGGGGGCAGCAGCAGGAGCGGGATGTCCCTGTCCACCCCCCACTGGTGAG